TTCTACAGGCTACTTTGCAAATGCTTTTTTTTTTTTCGTTCAACTATTTTAATAATCTGCTTTGAACTCCATGTCCTTCAACAAAATTGCATACAATTTTTTTTTTTTTTTTCTCTCAGGGTTGTTGAGTGTAAAATTTCCTTTAGTGAAATCAGCTAGTATAAAGAGACAACTAGTCTACTCCCTAGGAAAAGTAATCCCATCTTATTTCCTTAGAGGAGAATGACAGCCCAGCTGGTGGTGAAATAGTGAATAAAAAATGACAATGTCTTAGGAATCCCAAGGCCCAAATTGGTCATTAAATCTGAACAAGAATTATGCTGTGAAAGCTCCTTTTGATTGGAGTATTTATGTCTTAGTTGGCTTTTTCATTCATTGTCATCTTATCATAGTGGAACATTTGGTTTTATGTTTCATCATTGATGCAATGGATCTTTTGACAGTAGTTTTGAATTGTGATGGCTTTTTCTCTTTTTTCTCAAACTTGGAGCCTTCAAGTGTGATTGGGTGTAGAAGCTTTGGCCATCTTCCGCTTCCTTTGGTGTTTTTTTTTTTTTTCCTTAATGTATTCCAATTCCCTCTGTTTTGACTTCACTCTTTTTGTAAGTTCGTTAATTTTTTGGTTTCAAGTCTTTCTTGTTTTCTGTCCTGGAAAGAGATGTACCTTTTAGATTCTGCCATTTTGTTGATCTTTATTTGACTTTAGTTTTCATGATGTGTAGTTATTAGGGAGGATTATTGATCTCAGAAGCTTAATTGCTGAACGCATGAACAAAGTCTTTAGAGAGAATCTTGAGTTTCTCCTTGATCGTTTTGAATCACAGGATCTATGTGCTATAGTAGTAAGTTTACAACTCTATATTTTGTTCTCTTTGTGGTTTACTCAATGTTCCACATCCAACAAACAATAATTATTTTTGGTTGCAGGAACTGGAAAAGCTGATTGATGTATTAAAGCATGCCCATGAGTTGCTTTCCAAAGATCTTACAATAGATTCATTCAGTTTCATGTTAAATGAGATGCTGGAGAACACGTCTCTTGTGTCATATTCTAGCCGACTTGCTTCTCAGGTTCCACTAATTTCCTCCATGCTGTGTTACACACATTCGTCCCTGCTTTCTTCATTCCTTCCCCCTAACCACCTTAGTCTAAGTGGATCTGTGATTTGCAAGAATATGACATTTGTGTACTTATGTTAAGGTGTATTCTTTCTTTTATTATCCATCTAAGCATCCTTCTGTCATCAATAGTTTTTGGTTTTATCTCTTTAACTATGATATCCATTTCAATTTAAGAATTTCCATCTTACTAAGGACAAAGGATGGATGAAACTATATTTTAATGTTTAACCTGTTGCATGAGCCAGTAGACATAATGAGGAATTCAAAATTCTGAACTTAGGCTTTTAGGTTAAGATGTTTTTCACAAGGTATTGAAGCTTACTTGATCTACTAGGCTCGAATTCAAGGGATAGTGCTTGTATTTATTCATTTAATGTAATACAAGATATGTAGCACATCTATGTTTGGTCCCCTTTTACTAGTTCAGTGGTCTTGCAACTAAGCCTATTGGTTGAGAAATATGATTAGCTGACCTTTTACCTATAAACCTAAGCTTCCAGAAGCTGTTCTTATAAGAAGATGTGAGCCTAATCACATAGTCATATTTGTGGCCATTGCAAGTTGCTTCATTTAAGAGAATGATCAAATCATTAGAAAGCATGCCTGTTGTTCCTTTTTTCGATGATCTGTCTGTTCTTGAAATTGTAATCCTCAGATCTTTATCATTCTTGGAACGAATTTCTGTACTGCTTTGTAAGAAACAGAAAAAACATGATATTAATTCAATTATGTGCCCTGCCTACAAGTTTTGGCAGAGTTGAAATAGCATTAAGCATCAATAACTGTTTTTTCTTGTAGTTGGGCCAAAACATGTGAGCCAGACACATGATGCAGAGATATTCTGCTTCAGCTAAGAATTAATTTAGAGATAGACTTTTCTTAATTTTTTAGGTTGATTACTTAATTATGTTATCGTTGTTGGGGATACATCTATATTTTTTCAAGGTTAACAATCTTACTAGGTAAATAATTTTGGCCTGCAGGTGTAAGAAACCGTAGTCCCAGAACAAATAATTGATGTGTCCTTATTACCATTAGACTTTTAGGGTATTCCTCAGTTTTTAATTGTTGGGCTCAGATTTTGTGACTACAAGCTTTTAAATTATTATTATTATTATTTTTTTCTATTCTAACATATTAACTCTTTTCTCGTCAGATTTGGTCAGAAATGCAAAGTGATTTCTTGCCAAACTTTATACTTTGCAATACCACTCAGCGATTCATCCGATCTTCTAAAGTCCCTCTTGTTCCTGTTCAAAAGCCATCTGTTCCATATGCCCGGCCTAGCTTCTACTGTGGTACTCAGGTAACAAACAATGCTTGGTTACTAATTTCTTGAATCATGCAACATGTTTTCCCTTATAACAAAAGTTACCGGCAAACTATTTTCAGCTTGTATGTTGGTTAAAATTTGTGTTACTTTGTTTTTCTGACGTTCTTTTTCTTCTTGGTCGTTGTAGGATTTGAATTCTGCTCATCAAAGTATTGCACGTCTCCATAGTGGGTTTTTTGGAATCCCACACATGTTTTCCATTGTTAGACTTCTAGGATCGAGGTCATTGCCCTGGCTCATTCGAGCACTCTTGGACCATGTATCAAATAAGGTATGTCACTCCTGCCATAATGAGAACTACAGTATGAACTTCTTGAAATCCTTAATGAACTCCCAAACAAATACTAGAAAGAAGAAAACAAAAATAAAATAAAATAAAATAAATTAAAACAATGAAAAAACCTCTGACCAAACTTAACATTGCATTAAACCTCAAGCATACTAACATGTATAAAGAAATTAAAGCCTAATTCTAGTTTCCTAAGGACTCTTAACAAAAAGAAATAATTATCCCTAATCAAATCCTTATTATTTTCTTATGGTCTTTCTATGTGCTTTTGGTTGGGCCAAAGTTTGCCTACATGTGCAAATGCAATGCATATTTCTGGTTGGTGAAAATTGTTTTCTAGACAGGTTTTGAGAATTCTGTGTTATCTGACTTCACAAACATGTCCAGCAAACTACAGTTAATGAATTAAATTCATCATGTGACTTTAACACTCCCTTGATTAAAACCACTAAAAGGCTCCAATAAGCCTTTGGGTCAAAGGCGCCGGTGCTGGATGTCAGTTCAGTTTGGTTTTCAAGCAGACAGCATTTTGGTTAGCTGACAATTTAAGTTAATAAAAAGTTTTACAAAAACTGAACTGGAGTATTGTTTGGGATGTTGGTTCAGTTATCCAAACTTAGTCTGTTAAATTGGTTAGAATAGCAACGACCTATTGGTCTAAGTAGAAGGAGTTTGGATCTCCTTAAGTCTTCAGTTCGATTCTTGTGAATGGAGAAACTTGCATTGGAAGAGCTTCTCCCTTTATGAGGTTTGACGTGGCTCAACTCCAGATTCTCCTTTATTAGGTCTGATGTAGCTCGACTCCGGATTCTCTAGATTAGTTGGGGCTCAATGTGACTTCCAGATACTAGGAGTTTAGTACTAAAAATAATTGGTTAGAATGCATTTTTGACTGAACTTTTCTGATGAGCAAGAAGTTATTAAATATTTATTTACAATATGTAGGATTCTTATGTAATTATTATTATTAAAGTATTATTTTAGATTTGCTAGGTTTTAAAACCATGCTACATGTGGTTCATTTATACTGTACCTAATTATTAAATATGTAATATTGATTTAAAATTAAAATTAATTTTTAATTAATGAATATTAAAATTAATTTTTAATTAATGAATATTAAAATTAATTTTTAATTAATGAATATAAAAATTATTTCAAATGCATATTAATTTATTATAAACATAAATCTAACTTCCATATCAATTAAAGTTTTTTGATAAACATGATAGAGCCAGTCATTAAATCTTTGTTAATTTCTTTATCTTTACATTTATAATTATTATTGTTATATAATTCTTTTTTACATTAATTTGTATCCTGTTTCTCGAATATCCATATTAGAGGGTTTTAAGTCAAAATATTAAAGATATAACTCATTAGGATTATTCTTTAGGACTCTTTCATTTACCTATACTCTATCTCTCAATAATTTTTCTTATGACGTCATCTTGTAGCTCTCACATAGTTTATCATTATATATATTTGTCTACCTATATTCTTCCTTTCTCTATCTATATTAATAATTTATTTGTTATTATTGTTTCTTTCCTTATTCTCTTACTATATTATTATGCTTTTATAGTCACTCCTTGTATCTCTATAGCTCATTATATATTCCTTTTTTAATTAAAGTCTCTCACTCTTTATCTATATTAAACATGTTCTAAGCCAACATATAAAACATATAATATTTTAACATTTTTATAAAAAAACATTATTTATTCCATTGGTACTTTTTCACTTACATACTCTATCTTTTGTAACATCATCTTTTAACTTAGACTCATATTTTTTTACTACATTTATCATTCTAATCTATGTCTGCAATCACTTTCACTTTTTAATTAATAATAATTTATTTATTTTTATTCTTTCTTTATCCTCCCCTTTATTATTTTTCCTTATTCACCCCTTTCATCTTCATCTAAATATATATGTCTACGCAATTTTTCTTTTTCAATCTATCATTTGGTATTTTTTGTTTTCCCACTATTACAATAACATATAAATATCTTAAAATCACAAATAATTCAATTATATATGAAATAAATTTCAACACATATCTAAAAAGTTATAATTTTCCAACATAAAGTAAAAAACATACATTATTTTTCTCATTTTCCCTTTTTATATTAGTAATTTGATATTATTCTCTCTTGTTGTCCTCTCATCTCTATTATTTTTCTTAGTCATATCTTTAAATATTTACCTATCAAAAAATATTTTTTTACACCATTTTTTTCCCTTTTGATAAATTTTCACTTAGTTATACTTAACCTTTTATTAATTTTTCTTAAGATTCCATTGCTTAGTTTATTTTCTCACATTTTATCATTATATTGATCAATCTACTCTACATTTCTTTCAGTTTCTCTATATTTAATAATTTTTTGTTATTATTTTTTGTCTCTTTATCCTTATTTTTTCAATATTATTCTTTTTTAGTCACTTCTTACATCTCTATTTATTATTATATACCATTTTTACTCCCATTTTTTCTTTTTCTTTCTCTCTCTCTTGTTTGTGTATTAGAATTAATTAAACTTTTGTCTTAATAAATATATTGAAAGCTTGTAAGGGCTTTTACCTTACCGTTTTTTATAATTTTTTTGATAAAGAGAATGTCAAAACATTTTTAGATTCCTCATATAGGCTCTTTCTTTTTAGGTTCCTTATATAGTATGTTTGGATTGAGGGGGAATGGCAGGGAGGGGTGGGGAAAAAAGTCATCTATTTGGTTATTAAAAAAATTAGAGGGGTAGGGAGGGGAAAAATTCCTTTTTCTTTTAATTTAGTTACTTATCTAAATGAGAGAGAGGGGAGGGGAAAAATTCCCCTCCCCTCCTCTCTATTCCTCTCAACCCAAACATAGGGTAACAATGTGTTTGGATTGGGGGGCAGGAGGAGGGAGAGGGGGAGATGCCTCCTTTCTCTTGTTTGCGTTATCTCTTTTAATGGAGGGGAGAGAGATGGAACCCCTTCCACTCTAATTCCATCCCTCCAATTTGGAGGGATTGCAATGGATTTCATTGGTCAAGTTATTATTATTATTTTTTTTTAAAATAAATATTTATAAGTATTTTATTCAATTATTTATTTAATTCGTAAAATTAAAATATTATATTATATTATATTTTAATTATTTAATTAAATAAAAATATTATCCCCCTTTCCTCTACTTTTGTCTATCCAAACAAGTTTAACACTAATCGATTCCCTTCCCTTCCCTTCCCTTCCTTTCCCTTCCTTTTCCTTTATTAATTTTTATCCAAACATATCCTCAAAGACCTATTTAGTATTCATTTGAGATTTATTGAAGATTTTAACAATTTTTATAATATAATAGATATAATTGAGTTTAAATTTTAAAAAGCTCATTGAGTATTTATTTAAAATTTAAAAAGGCCAATTGGGCATCTATTCACTATTCATTGAAGATTTTAAAAGGCCTATTAGGTTTTTATTTTGGATTTATTGAAGATTCTAATAATTTTTATAATATAGTAAAACATAATTGAGTTTGCATTTAAAAAAGCCTTTAAGTATTTGATTTATATTTATTTAAAATTTTAAAATGTCCATTTGATAGTTAGTATTTGTTGAAGATTTTAAAAGGCCTATTGGGTATTTATTTGAGATTTGTTGAAGATTTTAATAATTTTTATAATATATAGTAAGATCCTAAGATGATTAGAATTTCTACTGAATTGTATTTGTTCTGTATTATTAAAAATATAATATTAAAAATGCGTATGAAAATATTATTATCAAAAATATAATTGAGTTTATATTGAATATAGTTGTGGTTGAAGTTAGATTGAAGTAGAATTGCATTGAAAGGAAATATTATTATTGAAAATATAATTTGAGTTTAGATTTTAAGAAGCCCATTAGGTATTTACTTGGCATTTATTGAAGATTTTAAAAGGTCCATTAGATATTTATTTACTATTTATTGAAGATTTATTAAAGATTTTGACAGGCCTATATGGTATTTTTGAAGATTTTTTAAAGATTTATTAAGAATTTATTGAGGGTTTAAAGGGCTCATTGGGTATTTATTCAAGATTTATTAAAGAATTTAACAATTTTTATAATATAGTAGGATTAGTTGTCCTAGTTTTATTAAGATTAGACCTTTTCTTTTTAGGAGTCATATTCAGAATCTTCTGTATGAGTCTAAGTTCTAGTGCTAATCTGATTAGAATAGGAATTTCCATTTCTCGTTAAGTTAGGAATCTTAGGAATATCTTTATTTATGTTCTAAATCCTTTCAGGAGATTTCATATAAATAAGTATACAAATAAGTATATGACCTTTCAAAACTTTTCTAATTAAGGATATCACATTTTTTCCATACTAATTGAGTTTCTAATCAAGGACATGATATTTGTGATTTTACTAAAAAGGGATTAAGTAGGTGTGCACAGATTATATCCTTGTTAGAAAATTTTGAAAGGAAGTAGTCTTGATTATTAAGATCGCATAGGTCATATTCTAAATTAGAAACTTTGGAACGGTGGTAGCCTTAATCAGTAAAGAAAAAATAGCGTATCCTTAATTAAAATTTTTTTGAAAAGTTGTGTACTTATTTGTATGAAATCTCAGCCTTTTATTATTATTGACTAGTCAAGAATTTAGAGATTTGTCCAAATAAGGACTTAACCTTTCAAAAATTTTTTAATTAAGAATATGATTTTTGTTCTTTATCAAGGTGGTAACCTTTCAAAAGTTTCCAATGGATATGACATTTGTGATTTTTCCAAAAAAATATTAAAAGGTGTGCAAAGTGATATGCTTGATTAGAAACTTTTGAAATCATATCCTTAATTAAAATTTTTTTGAAAGGTTAAGTCCTTATTTGTACTGAATCCCTAAGAATTTATAAGAAATTTCCAGTGAGAGTTTTTCTTGAGATTGTGTGATGCAATCTTGGTTGTGTAATGTGATCATCATTAGGTGTGATGCTTAAAGATTTTCTTTCCTCTTTAGGGGTGATGTCTAAAGAAAACTAGGTGTGACTCTTAGGGTTCATCTATCTTTTCCATCTTTTCAATGCCTAACCAGCCTCCAAATGCCTTAGCCCACCATACCCCTAACCTGTGCCGCATTATTTTTCTTTTGTTGAGAATTTTTTAAGGATTATGACAGCATACTGAAGAAAGGAGACTCTCACTAGCCTCTGTAGAAGCCATATGGGTTCTTGACAAGCAGAGATGGCAAAGGATGGATTGGTTTGCGTTGGATTGATCAGTTTTGTCCCTAAAAACACATGGGGAGTTTGATTGTACTAATCTTCTTTTTGTGAATTTCAATCTTACAAAAACAAAAGCACTGGTTAATTGTGTAAAAATATAATTTCTTTGGATGAAAAAGCACATGCATTTTTCTAAGAAAGTTTACAAAAAGATCACAATTGAAATAGCTAGATAACAGAGAATAGAGACAATCAACAATTGAAATAACTACCTCTAAATGATTTCTACAATAATTCTCTAGCAAAATCTGAGTAACTCGTAGAGAAGTTAGGGCAACTACGAGAGAAGAGTGAAATCGAATAAATTTAAAAGTGGTAGAAGTACCATTAACACAATTTTATGGTAAGGATGAATAAATGGTGAGAATATATAAGAAATGGGAAATTTTTTTTTTTTTAATTAATCCTTTCAATATTAGTTTTGATCAATTTGTTGTAAGGCTGATATTACCAACAACCTGTTGGTCCAAGTGGAAGGAGCTTAGTTCCTCTTAAATAAAGTCTTGAGTTTTAGTCTTGTGAATAGAAAAATAGGCACTAAGAGAGTTTTCCCCCTTATGGGATCCGACTTGACTCAACTCCAGATTAGTAGAAACCCAACGTGGCTTTTGGATACTAGGGGGTTAGTACCAAAAAATGAAAAAACGCTGATATTTTACTTTGCCAGGGTAAAATTGCCTATCAATAAAACTTTGCCACTAGGGGGAAGTTTTATCTCTCAAAATTGAGAGGAAACTTTTCCCCACCATATGAAGTAAAATTAGGGGCAAAAAAAAAAAAACTCTACCCCTTACTTCATAGTTTTGGTGTGAGTAACCAAAATACCCTTGAATTTGGGAAAGTTTGGGGAGAAAATGCATCCTAAATTTTCAAGCTTTTCCTTTCTTCAAATAGCATGTCATTCAGAAGGCTATGGCCTTCCATACGCAACTCATTCATTAGCATCTCTGAAAATTTATTTATGCACTTTGACCATGTTTTTACATCCATACATATTCCATACATTTGTTCATTGCTTTATTTGCCATGATCCTTACATTACTTTAATCATGAAGTTCAATTGTTTTTCATCATCCAAGTATTCAGCCTATATCTTAGGAGTTACTTATGTATTGGAAGTTTGATCTAACTTCTCATTAACTTCATGTTTCAGATAGCTACACTTGAACCAATGATTACAGGGTTGCAGGAAGCACTTCCTAAATCTGTGGGATTGCTTCCTTTTGATGGGGGAGTATCAGGTAGATGTCAGAATATTTTTTCCCTTTTAGATGATTTCTGTCTCTTTTTTTTACTTCACAGTATTTAATGTTATGCAGAAACTCCATCTTTTTAACTAATTGAATCAGTAGATGGCCACATAAAGTAGTCAATGCAGTGAAAGTTATTTATAAGATTTTGGGTTGATTTTAGAAAGACCAGATAATTTACTCTATTTTTTTTAATCATTACTGTGATATTTAATTTGGCAATTTAGTGCCCAAAAACTGTTAGTTGAAACTTCAATTAGGTTGACATTTATCTTGGAATTAGTGTATTGTAGAAATATATGCTCAAGATTTGTTGATTTTTACCATACCTTGTCAAAATCATAAACAAGAGGAACAAGATTTTAGGATCTTCAATCATAATTTTGAAATTTTATTTTCTTTACTTGGCAGTTTTTGATAAAAATGCATCAGATTGAACAGAACAATTATCTTACACAAAAAATACCAAAAAAAGAAAATCAAGTTAGTGTTGTAAATGAGCTTGAGCTACTTGTAGGGTACTTGACTCAATCTCAAGTAACCTCAAGCATGAGTAATAAAAAAATTAAGTATCTCGAGTTAGGATTTGTTAATTATGGCAGTCTCAATTTATTGTCTTTGCATATTAGCCATTGTATATATATATATATATAAAACAAATAATATGCAAAAACTATTATGACATGATCATGAGCCCCAAAGTTGGTTTACCAAACAGGTGGTAACACCAGCAAAATAAAACTACAGGAATAGCTCCTTACTTGAGTTGTAGCATCCTTCCTTGGATTTGTCATGGCTCCTTACAGCAATTTTTTAATAGTTCAGTTGTACAAATTGTCTTTAACAAAATACATTTAACATTTGAAAATTGTGACACTAACAAAATTGTTAAGACATGTCGAATCTACATGAAACTTGGTGTGTATGATTCATATTAATAACATTAAATCTAATGATTAATTTCATGAAATTTGAACCAAACAAAAAGATGCAGATCATTGCAAGAATTGAAAAAGTTCTTAAAATGGTGTTTAAATGTAATTTCTATTTTTTAGAGGGAGAACAATGGCATAACAGTTGCTGTATTCCATAACAATACTCATGGCACTTTTTTATCCATATTTTAAACTTTTAACTAAAATAGGATTGAGCAACTTTGGAGTTATAAAACTAGTTGGATTGTGGTTACTGCTAACCACTGGCGTTATTCATCTTGAGCTTCTATGCCTAGCACAAACTTGTTTTAGGTTTAGTGTTTTAACAGTTCCTTTTTTCTTTTTGTTCAGAACTTGTAAGATGTTGAACCATATGAACTATGAAGAAGAAACTGCACATTTTATTGGCTGGTGATAAATTTTTTTAAAATCAAAATATAAGTTTTAGTTGTTTGTAATGAAACTGTGATGATTTTGTATTAAGGGATTGAGGAAAATTAAGACTTTTTAGCAATTAAAATGCCAGGACCGATAATGAAAAGATTAAAATGCCCTTAATAAATCAACAATTTCACAGCCTATCTTGGCACTTTAAGTGCCAGGACATCATGATTTTCACTTGTTTTTCACTTTCCTCTTTATTTATATGAATAAGTTATATATAGAGAGTTTTGTTAAAAAAATTCTACAATTTAGTTCCTATAAATCTGCTAACAATCCGTGTGACCCTTAACTATCAATCCATGTGAATCTCTACAAATCAGCAACTGATTTCAACCTATTCAACAGTTTTGTTTGATAAGCTTTTCTATTTATTAGCATTTGTCGGTATTTCCTCGTCCTTTTTGTTCCTTGGATGGGGGGAAGAGTCAGCAGTATCTACATCTTTGTTTTTTGCTTGGTTTCCTTTAACTTTGTATGTGCAGGTTGTGTGAGGCTTGTTAAAGAGCAACTTAATTGGGGGAAAAAATCAGAGCTCAAAGGAGAGGTTCTTCGTGGGATTAAGGAGATTGGAAGTGTGTTATATTGGATGGGCCTCCTTGATATTGTATTGGTTAGTATCTGAAATTCTCCATTTACTCACTATTTGAACTCCTTGATATTGTCTTGGATTATTGCTGTAGACCATCTGAATGAAATGAAAGGGATAAGATATCCTTGAACTGACTAGGATTCTGTGATAGGCATATCTCTGTTTAATATTTAATTTACATGCTAGCCCATAATCTGTATAAAGTCTGAGAAGTGGTATGCAAGTCAAGTCCCAATCATGTATCATAAATTTATCAATGTTTCTTGTAAAGTAATTATATCTAAAACCAGTCCCATGAATGAAATATGGCATCACTTCATGAAAACTACGTCAAGGTTAGTGAGTGTAGTCATTTGGAGCCTTCACCAGAGAATGACATAAAAGTAGAGAGATGGCAGGCAAGAAAAGGTATTATAACAAACAATTCTTTTTCAGAAGGTGGAAACTCTCAAATTCAAATAAGTTGAGATGATGTTTATGCAACATGTGCATGCGGATTACCAATTGCAGAAAATTAAAGGTGGAAAAGGCTCACTTGGGGTTGAATTTTTGAAGATTGAATATTTATAATTATTGCATTCACCATAGAATATGGCAATTAAACTGGAAGACATTTACGGAAAATAAATAAATAAATAAACACTTGAAGGAGTTGTAGCAATATATGCAAGCAACCAAACATGGTCTAATTTTCTGGCTTTCACATGATAAGAAAGTATATTGCTTCTTTTTCAATCGCATTGATTGTGTATCATGTTGTTTTCTCTCTTTTATGTTGTTTCTAATTATGGCTTATCCAACTAATTTCTAATTTAATTGCAATTTGTTTTTGATGTCCTCTAAATTCCACTATCTTGCTTGACAGAGAGAATTGGATACCACACACTTCATGCAAACAGCACCATGGTTGGGTTTAATTCCTGGTGCAGATGTGCAAATTTTGCAGTCCCAAGATGGAGGTGATAGTCCTGTTGTCAACCTCTTCAAATCCACTACTGCTGCAATTGTTTCAAACCCTAGGTGCTCAAATCCCACATCTTTCTACACCATCTCAAAACAGGCAGAAGCCGCAGGTGTGCAATTGTATAAAATTTAAGTTCCATTTAGTATGGCTGTAGTTTTTAGTTTTTGATTTTGTTGTCAAAATTTAAACACTCAAAATTAGAAATTGAAAACCAAGTTACAAATTAAAATTGTCAACTCAGTAAGTATAACTTAGAACTAATACCCAAAATTGAGAACTTAATTAATTTATAAAACTTGTTAATTTTATTGTAGTGTTTCTAAATTTTTGAAAATCAAAACTTAAATCCAGAAACAACAACAATACTAATTGGAGCCTTATTTTCCCTGTGTTTTGTTGCCAAGGGTGAGAAATTTAATGCAATTCATTCTCCATATCATCCATTGATGTTAAAGTGCATTCTCTTTTCCTTTGTTGTCTTTTAACCCTACCGTATCCTAAAATTCAATCTCATGCGATGATTTGGTAACACTAGACTGGAGTACAAAAGTTGTAACCTTTTCTTTTCCTGTTGTAGGCTTCTTATTATAGGTTTATAGCATCTAGCATTAAAGTTCAACTTAAACAACAGAAGAACCTAAAATAGTTACAGACAAGGAAAAATAAAAATATGAGAAGAGATTAGAAAATGGTGACAATTGCAAGGTTAAAAATGAAATTGCTGAAAGCACGGCATGGGAGTGGGCAACCCTGGAGTTCCAAAAATTACTTGGAATTGACTGAGATGATGAAGTCAAATCCAAGAAGAGAGAAGGGAGAAACAAAAAAAAAAAAAAAAAAAAGGCCTGGGGGAACTGGTAGGAGAAGAATGGAATGTGTAAACGGTTTGTTATATAGGGTCCTAAAATAAAAATTAAAAAAAAAAATGATGGCAGAGATGTGACGGCCAATATGCTGGGGCTGAGTTTGGTTTACTAGGACTTAGATCCTTGAAAGGGCATGAAAAGGAGGCAAGCCCATGTAAAATTTGATCTATTATATTTCCTTTCTACTTCTTAATAATTGACAGCTGAAACTTGGAAACTATCATTTGAAGAACCTAGAAGTTTGGCAATCAATTTAACAGCGCCATTATTTCCCTGTCTAATATCCTAATTGCACCTCATCTGACTGGTTGCTTGCCAACATTTTGACCTTGAGATAGCTTTTTGTGTCATTTTTTAGCATTTACATGGAAGTTACATCACAATTAAGAAAACAATGAAGCTGTTAAGAATAGGTGTAGGCATATTATGCAATTGACATATTTCTAGAGTAACATTTTCACTTGTCTTTTGCTGGAGGGAAAAAATCAGAAAGAACAATGTCACCCCAAAATAGGCGTCTGCTCCTTTCTTTCTTGTCCTTCCATACCATACTCCCATCTCATGTTTTATTGCTTTTGTGTTTTTTTGACTTAAATGGTTCTGTTGCAATCCTTTTGTTGCAGATCTATTGTACAAGGCTAACATGAATACTGGAAGTGTGTTGGAATATGCACTTGCTTTTACAAGTGCGGCATTAGATAAATTTTGTTGTAAATGGAGTGCAGCTCCCAAATCAGGGTTCATTGACATTACAACTTCAAATGATTTCCATCGTATATACAGTGGCCTCCAACTGGTAAAAAGCAACCATGTGTACATTGTTTTATGTAATCTACATATATGAATTCAGTTACTCGTCCAGTTCTGCAAATTTTTTTACTGGGATTTATGTTAAACAGATTCAAATGTGTACTTACTGATACTAATATGTTGCATTGATCCACTCCGCTTCTTGAACCTTAGGAATATCTGGAAGAGTCTATTCAATTTCCTCCAAACAATCATGAAGTGCTGGGCGATTCCATTGCTTGGGGTGGTTGTACCATAATATACTTGCTTGGACAACAGTTGCATTTTGAGCTATTTGACTTTTCATATCAAGTCCTCAATATTGCAGAAGTTGAAGCATTATCAATCGCGCATACACACAAAGGTCCTCATATGAACCAGGTATAGAATTATCAATTCATATTGGAAAATAATCTCCTTACTCAGAACCTGTCCGAATGTCCGTAAAATTGAACTTATAATGTTCTCTTTCTTCTGCATATAGCTTATTAATCACCACTGATGATTAAGGAAAACTGTCTCAACATGTGTTACAATGTATAACAGATCAGCTATCCTGATCGACGAAGAACCAAAATATCTATCAAATGAGGCATGATAGCTTATATGTCTAGCATCTCTTACGTGTTTTGTTGATGTAAAATTCATCCAAGGGTGTTACTCTTGCTTTTTTTGATTTTTGGTTTTATTCTTTACTGATTGTATTCAATTTTTTTATAAGGGATGGGAAGCCCTACTAGAAGCAATGAAAAAGGCAAGGAGATTAAACAATCATGTATTTTCAATGTTGAAAGCACGTTGCCCTCTTGAAGACAAAAAAGCTTGTGCCATCAAGCAAAGTGGTGCCCCACTGCACCGGATTAAGTTCGAGAATACTGTTTCTGCATTTGAAACGCTGCCCCAGAAAGGTGCTTCGGTGAGTTAAGTAATCCCTACCATTCTCCACTTGTCATCATGTAATACGTTGCAAATTTTTCTGGGTTGTATTTGTTATATTATTTACTAAAATTATGCCTGGATTGGTACAAACTGCACATGTTTTTCATGCTGAGTATAAAGAGGATATGACAAGGTTTTATTCTGCGGCTTTATTTATATTTTGATTTAATTGTAATCTCAATTTCATAATATAACAACGTAATTTTAAGATGTTTTCCTCTTAAAAATTAAGAGGGAAGGCAATGCACATTTTATATGAAAAAAATGTTTTGTAAAATGTCTTTTATGAAGGGCATCTCTAAAAATATCATATCTAAATAATATTTTTAAAAACTATTCATTAAATTAAAAATTTTATTTTATAGGCCTAATTAATTTGTTGGATATGGAATATTTCACATCATGAAACATATCACTAAATAATGTTTTTTCATTAAACAACTATAAATATTACATCATTTTGAAAATTAATGCATATATTATACATGAATAAAGTATTTAATTTAATAGTTAGTTTTTAAAATATTAATTATAATGAGTATTTAGGCAAGTACTTAAAAAAAATTAGGAGGATAATTTGTATTACAATAATATATATTTAGATAGTTGCATAGGGAGAGCCTTTAGTATTAAGGTGTGAATGGATTTACTTTTCATCCAATAATTTCTATTGTGCAATTTAAATTACAAAATAATTTTTAATATATATATAGAGATTAATTCGTTCGACTGGCATCTAATATATATTTAGTGGTTGTTTCAATGAGAAAGGCCAGCATAGTCTCTTGCCTACTTTAACATTACGGTATTTTAGTTAATTACGGTATTTCAATTTTTTTAATTGAAGTTAATTTAAAAATGTAATTTTGGGTCCATAAAAAAAATGTAATTTTGGGTCCATAAAAAAAATGTAATTTTGGGATGATTTTCTCTTATTTTTTAAAGATTCAATTGTACACTTTTCATACACAGGATTAGTGCCAACCAAAAATTTGGAGAAAAAATCTCCTATTGAAAAAGACTAAATAATCTATTTCTAGGGTGGGGGACTATGGTTTTTGTACTAAGACAAATAATACCGAGACGACATTATATCTCAACGAAGTCTAATTCACTTGCATTCTCCCATTGTGGTACGGTGGTGGTTTTTATTGTCTAAAAAGACAATCGATGGATTGCACCCTTGATCTAAGTTTAATATTTCTCACAAGTAATATTAACTTTACTAACTTTACTAATCTAATCGTTACTCTTGTCAAAAAAAAAAAAAATCTAATTCACTTAATATGAGCTCGTAACCTCCAAAACTTTAGCTCAAAACAAAAATGTTTTGAAAGTTGCAAATTTTTGTGACATTTTTTCACGGCTTTGATGTGAATGCAAAAACTCAACCAAATGATATCGTTTTACAATGATATTTAATCCACCCATTTAGATTTCGATTATTAGCATTTATGTGAAAATTAGGTTAAAATAAAAAAATTATAAAACAGTGTGAACATTTTCGATTTTTTTCATAACTTTTACGTAAAGGTGAGAATTCATCCATGACATCGACATCAAAGAATGTGAACGTTTGTGCATTTATGTCAAAATTAAGACTAAATTAAAAATCATAAAAATCACATATATTTGACATTTTTATAAGTGGCTTTTATACAAACAAAAATACCCATCAAAACGACATTGTTATGCCATGAAATTCGATCAACACATTTGGGTTGCATTTGTTAGAATACATGCAAAAATTAGATGGAAACTAAAAGTGAAAGAAAAAAGAACCTTTTACCACCTTGTACATGACTTTTATGCAAAATCAAAAGCCACGTGTTTACATTATAAATTGTAAAATTACTTGATGATACATGTTAT